CCTGCTGAAGTTATTTTTCATTTCTGTGAACAAATCATTTATTTGGATTTTCATATATCAGGATCACAGAGATTTGCCACAGTCAGATTTTAATTTTAGTTACATCTGAGCTGGCTTATATATTAGGGCACATAGTTTTGCATGAGAGCATCTTCTAAAATCTGTAATTGGTGTGGAACACTGACATGCACAGAATACATCTGACAAGGTCCAAAGAGTTAGGTTCAGTTCCACTGATCAACATCTATGCTGCAGATTAACTGAATCTTTTATGGCATTACAAGCCCTCTAGAATTCATTAGTGTAGTTTCTCCTCCTACTAGCTACTCTTGACCTCCAGGGCTGTGATCACTACTTCTTTGGTTTGAATTTTAAAGGCCTAACTAGAGAGGCAAAACATATCCTATTCTACAAATCAGAATGTATATCTTAGATTTTCAATAGCATACATTTTCCTGATTAAATTGTAGTGCTCTTTCATTGTTACTTGTTTGCAATTTCTAGCTCCCCTCACACAGGCCCAACCTGCTCTGCTTAAGAAAGGAAATGCAAAGCGAGTTAATCTTCAAAACAAGAGAACTGCAGTATTTTGTATGTGGGTAATTTGGATTTAGTCCTTTGTGAGGATTTCCATGAATTTTGTGCATATGTTGGGTTACAAATGTAGTTAGACCAGGGGTGGGGAAAATGGTGGATCTGGCCTGCAGCCAGACTTAATTTCCCAGAAGCCCCAGCCTGTGCAGCCCCCGGCCAGTGTCCGTGGAGACCCTGGGATTGTGACAGCGCAGTGATGTGACAACGCAAGACCGCAGAATCGGGGCCCTGCCCCAGCCCTACAGTGTCACGGCCCCGCGATCCCGGGGTCTCCACAGAGACGGGCTAGGAGCTGCACAGGCAGGGCGCGCAGCTGGGCGGGGAGCTGCTCTGGGGCTGGGGCAGGGATCTTGGGATGGCAACAGCGGGAGGCAGAGCTGTGATCCGCTCCCTGCACGTGCCTGCCCACAAAACCCATGCTTGGCACAGGGGTATGCGGGCAGCGGGTTATGGCTCTGTTCTGGCCCCAGCCCTATGCTGTCACCACGCCAAGATCCTGGGGTCTCGCCAGTCCCACCCACCCATCTTACTCCCAGCTGTGGCCTTATCCCAGCCACCCAGCCACGCACCATGCCTGCGTGGGTCCCAGCCCTGGCAGTTGGTGTGGGGCGGACAGGCCGGGCTGCCGAGGCCGCCGGGTTGAGTCAGGTGGTGGCAGCCAGAAGGAGCCACTGCCACAGGAGCTGCTGGGAAATGGAGTCTGCCATGGGCCAGATTTTGCTCACATCAGATTTAGGCTAACTAGACAAGCACTTTCATAGAAGGAAGACACAAAATAAGCAAAGGCTAAGGAAACCTTGCAAATAACTTCTGAAGTAAAACTTTAGCGCTTCATCTTTTAAGAGACCATGTGGGTGGGTAGCACCTTACAGGAGCTGGCATTACCTGATGAAAGAGCTATTCCCTACAGTGCAGGTTATACTCTACTTCAGGACACACATAAAGGCTGGCATACTAGGATGCCTTTCTCTCTTTCTGTGCATCCTAGAATATTACGGCGCAACACTACCCTTTTTGTTGGAGAGGGTAAGAGTCTCACCACACCTTGTTGTTGCACGATTACATTGAAGGGCAAGAATATGTCCTTCAAAAATATATTATATATAAAAGAAAGAGCTCCTGAAGCGCAGACTTTAAGAACAATTCCAAAAATCGTGAGGGTTGGCAATACTGGCAACACTGCAAAATTTTTGTCTTTACATCCTCATACCAGATCAGACCCACTACCCATTCTAGCTTCTAAATCAGGGTTTTCCAGGTAATAAGGGAAACACACATAATAAGCTTAGGGGAAATTTTAAAGAGAAAAGAATCCTCATAAACATAACTTATTTTACAAAGTGAAGACTATTTCACTGAGAGAGCCCTTTTTATTGAATTTATCATAAAATGGATTAATGTTAAGTCTCCTGGTCCACTAGGCAGAGTATACTAAGACATGAGGATCTGAAGAAGGGATGGAGAGGTGGCAGAGATTTCACAAATGTGTAACAGGATTTACATTTTCCTGGGGTCATAGTCTGACCTCAGGCATGTGCATAGGACTTTCACTAATTTAAATAGAGATGAAGCATGTAGTGAACCAAATTCTTCCCCTGAATGTACCTTTACAACATCGAGTAGAGCATGCCTGGAGAAGAGGGAACTGGTTATGCATAATCACAAAATAAAAATGTTTACACATCTACATAATAAAAAACTTCCAAAGAATTTAATGTAGATATTATTTATACATACACTTTATAAGTAGGAATATGGCAGACAGTTGAATTAGTACATAAAGTTTTATTTAAAGTTTTCCCCCTACAAGCAAGCTTCATTTACACATTCTAATACTGTACAAAATTTACAGTCTGACTTATTTATTCAGTTAGCACTTGCCTTGGTCATGCCTTCCTGAAAGATAGAAAGATTTACATACAGTCCTCATAAATCTTTAAATTATCTTGGTAAAAAAAAAGAACCACTAAAAAGGACAACAAATACCCTTTAAAGTGGTACATTTTAGTAGAGACAGGTGACAGTCAGTGCTGTATGGCAGACCTTATCATGATCTTAAATGTCATTCGAGGTTTCTTCATTTAGTACTGTAACAGGTTTCCTCTTTATATATATTTATATTTATATACTTTCAACAGAAAAGAAAAAATGTCATGATTGCACCAAATATATTTTACAAGGGATCCCTTGGATCTGAACAATACAAATAAATACAAAACCAACTAAGATTGCACTATACAGTAGAAATGGGTTGAGATTTCAGAGTATACACTCCACCTTTATGAGTTCCTTAGTGATTATGCCTGGGAAACCACCCAGCACATTACGGAGTGGCTTCAGAGAATTATTTTCTTTAAACAAGTTTTTCTAGATGTGCAGCTGCCTCATCCATTAATTTATTGCATTTATACAGCCTCAGTCTGTAATATGGTACTTCATTTTTACATCTGTGTAATTCTACTGCAAGCAAGGACTTACACTGTAAAAACCTGGAGCAATGACATGGAGAAGCAGTTCCATGATCTGTCTTCCCCAATATTTATGTTACTCTCTTAGACTCTTGAATGTCCAGTGAAACTTTTAAACATATTTGTTCTTTTTCTTCCTACTTTACAAATCAAATAATGATTTCTCCTTCGTGTCTACTCCTACTGCAACAGAAGCCAACAGACAGTAGCTTTTTGCTTCTTGTTTTTCTACCATTATCCTCAACAAATGATATTGACAAAAATATGCAAAGCTTTGGAAATATTGAGTTTAATTCTCCACTGCCTATCACCCAGTGTATCTGTTTATGGACTTGCAAATAAAAACCCAAGATCCTCAGGCAGCATCAACTGGAATGCACTGAGCTATGTTAATTTATGCCAGCTGAGAAGCTGGCCTTAAGTGTAAAGTGGATGCAAACCATGAGTAAATTGGAGTGTTTTACATGTACTTTGCACAGGTATAAATGAGTATACTAGCAGACAGGCAGCAGAGAATCAAGTACAGTATTGTAAGTGAAATACTGCTGTGGAGCCAGCAAAAAGAAGACATAGGCATAAAATTCATAGGACTTGATTTGTCATTGACTTATCCCCAGTGTCAACAATTAAAACTCCATAAAGTGGGTGCAAAATCCTACCATTCTGCCCTAATAGCCTTTTGGATTTTCTATGCAATGCGTAAATAACTATACAAGGCAGAAGGCAGCAGAGAATCCATCCTCATGTTTCTCTGGATCAACGGAGAAAACCCCTCTGATCATACATATTTTAAGGTAAATCACAGATGAGAATTTTAGCTATTCACCAGCATCCCTCCAAAACTGCATATACTGATTAAAGAGTTTGAAGAGGCACAATTATGTTTAAACTCTTGTCTTTGGAAGCAAATAGCAATTGTGTTCACTTGTAACAGGTTAGTGGAAATGAGAAAAGAATTATTGTATGCTCATTGTAATAGCAGATTGGATTTCTTTTAACAGGTTACAGTAATAACTTACAGTCTTAACCCAGGATTTGAGTTATAGGCCAGAATTTCAGTTACACCAAAGTAAAAACACTCATCCCACTGATTTTTGAGGAATGACTGTGCATTTACTCCACTGTAGCTAAGAGGAGAATTCGTTCCTAATCCCTAAATCACTATTGCAAGAAGTGCTCCGTAAAGCATGACTTCCATTGTAGTCTGCTCTTTGCTGCACTTACACAGGGGGACTTTGAAGGCAGAGTGTATGAGAAGCCAAGTTGTGCAAAAAACGAATGATATTTCTTTACCTTTTATGATCCTCTGATGCTGTGTTGCTTGCAGAGCATGTGAAGTAGCTGTAGGATAGGATTACAGAGGAGACAATTCTGCAATGCAGTGTGAGCTTGTTACTATCTGAATTTTGAAGCATTCATGAACACAACATCCTCATGACTTCAACATAGATCACATGCAGGTAGAATACAATGCACAATACTGATCTTGTCTTTTCAGGCTGAACATGAAATTTAGCCTTCATTTTTTACAGTTAACATTGATGTGAGGAATCTCTCTGTAGCTGGAAAAAGTTAAAATCAGTCTGAAATGGCAGTCTGTCAGCATGTAATGTTCGGTGTGTTCTAGCTACTTGCTTCACAAGACACCGGCATCTATCTGAGATGGGACAAGATTTTTTTTTCTAGTTTGCTTTTAAAGCATAAATATGAAATAAGGGGTTGGTTACAGTAGTTTTGTTTACCAGGAATTCTGTTCTATTAAAATATTTACGTCACCCGTCATTACTTTCCAGAATGCAACATTGTTCATTTCAATGTTCCGGGACTGTTATTTGTTGTATGGTACACAGGCTGGCAGGATGACAGTTGAACAAGCAGGGCCAGCAAGTGGCTCAGCCACATCTCCTTCTAGTTCTGTCCAGGTTCCCTTCTCAGGACTATAGCAAATAGTCGAAGATTTATAGGCCCCCTATAATGAAACAAAGTCTCATTGAAACACCATGGAAGCAGAATCCAAATGGCAAAATGGATTAAAGATAACAGGCCAAATTTTCCAAAAACAACTAGTGGTCATTGATGTCTTACTTAGGAGTCTTTAAATAGGTCTGATTTTATAAAGTGCTGAGTACTGATTTTTGAAAGTCATTAGGCTTCTTTAATGGCATCTTAAACTGAGTATACACAGACTGAGGCAACCATCATTACTCTGTTCCACCAAACTACATATTTTTGTATCACTGCACCCCAGATTAATCATAATAATTTTAAAATATTTTGGCTTATGTGGAAACCACATGAAGAAAAGATACTAAAAGTCTTTAAACAACTGGAACTACCTTGAACATAAGCTCAAGCAGCATCTTCTTTCACAAACTCATAAACACACACACACACACACAAAATATTCAGAGATGATGTAAAAAACATACAGAGTTCCTTTCCCTTACTCAGGTGAAAAATCAGAAGTCATTATTTTACAGTGATGTGAATCTGGTATAAACAAGAGGACAATCAGACTTGATTATAAAAGTTTTCAATCCAAGCCTGTGGGGCTATTCCCATAAACAAAGGAAGCAAGATAAATAAAATAAAATAAAAACTTTTATTTAATATCAAAATCGACAGAAAGAGCTAAATTTTTGAAAACACTGGGTTTTACTTACACTTACAGAATGTGCACACAAGTGTCAAATGGAAACTGTACATGCAGATACACTGTTGCAAACAAAAATACAATGAATAACTCTGCAGCACCTTAAGGACTCATTCCTGCACCAATGAAATAAATTCTGGCTTCAAAACACCATATGACATTAATTAATACTGCTTTGAGAGGTGTTCTCATCTTTCAATAATAATAAACCCATTTGGGGGAACTTCAAATGCAAAGTGACTTGCCCAAGGCAACGCAGTGAGCCAGTGGCAGAGTGAAGATTAATACCTTATATCACCTGACTCCCAATTCTGCCAGAGTACAATCACTTCTGTTCAGTACAATTTCCATTTCACAACATGTATACTTATTTTCCAATGTAATTTAGGCATCAGTGTTTGCAGACTTATGGGCAGATTCAAATCTTTTTCATTCATTCATTCACTGGCAGCCATTGGTCTCCGGAAACCATGGGGATTGTGCCCTTGGTAAGTTATTGGGTCCCACCACAGCTTCTTGAGAGGCTGAGGAGTCCAATGCTCAACAAGCAGACCCTCCGGCAAGTTGTACATACAAACTCAGTTGAGCTTGCACTGGCATGCCAAGTATCATTTTGTCATGCCTCCCTCTGATGCCTCTTTGCTAACTCATCATTGACTCTCTCCATCTTGAAGTGATGTAGGCCCTGCTATACAGTGGCTTTGCACTTGCAGTGGTCTGAAACAACTGATTCCCAGCATTGGCCATTGCTGCGCAGCTCATGAAGGTTTTTCTTGCAGACAACAACAAAACAGAGTTTGGGCCATCCAAGTTGATGTTTGGATGTTTGCCAGTGGTCAGCTCACCATAGAGTATGTCCTTGGGGATTTGACTATTGCTTATCTGGTTCACATGTCCTAACCAATGGAGATATGTCTGTCTCAGGAGCACAAATATACGGGGTAATATCTTGGCCTGTTCCAGAAGAGGGGAGTTGGAGATTTTATCACACCATGTTATGCCCAGGATACAGCAGAGACATTGAAGATGGAAACTGTTCAGTTATCTTTCTTCCTTGGCATAAGGAGTCCACGTTTCACTGCCGTACAATAAAGAGCTAAGTATGCAAGCACTGTAGACAGGGATCTTTGTCAACAAAGTGAGCACTCTGTTTTTCCAAACTCTCTTTTGAAGTTGAGCCACAGCGTCACTTGCCTTTCCAATACAAGCATTAATTTTGGCTTCCAAGCCAAGATTTTGAGAGAGAGTGGAGCTCAAGTAAGTTAATTTTTCAACTACTTCCAGGTTTTCATCGTTTATTCTAACTTTGGGAGGGCGGTCAACTTGCTGACCCATGACTACTGTCTTCTTTAGTCTAACAGTCAGACCGAAATCTTCACAGGCATGAGAAAGGTGATCCGTGAGACTTTGCAGTCCTGCTTCTGAATGAATAACAATGCTGAGTCATCAGCAAAGAGAATTTCATGGACAAGAACTTCTCGGGTTTTTGTTTTCATTTTGAAATGAGCAAAGTTAAAAGAGTTTCCCGTACGCATTCTGAACAGCCACTGAATGCATATCTGAGTAGGACAGCAAAGAAAATCCCCAAAAGCATCAGAGTAAGGACACAGCCCTATTTGACATTGCTCTTGATTTCAAATTCTTCTGAACGTGACCCATTGAACTGCACTGTTCCATGCATACTGACATGGAAGGACTTGATGATACTCAGAAACTTAGGAGGGCAGCCAATCTTCTTCAGGATTTGGAACAAACCGTCTCTGCTGACAAGAATAAAAGCTTTGGTGAAATCGACAAATGCTATTGTATATACAGAGATTTCCTTTGTTCACAGAACTTTTCTTGTAGGTGTCTCTTAAGGAGAGTATCATATCCATCATGGACCTACCAGATCTGAAACCACATTAAGACTCAGGGTAGACTCTGTTTGCAAGGGTCTGCAGTCTTAGCAGGACAGCTTTGGCAAACAGTTTCCCAATGATGCAAAGTAAGGATATACTGCAATAGTTATTGCAGTTGCTCATATCCCCTTTGTTTTTGTGCAGTGACTATGTTTACATCCTTCATATCTTGACAACTCTTTTCCAACACATACATATTAGTTCGTGCACATGGAAGAGGCGGACGGATTTCCCACACTTAACTTCAGCCAGTATGCAATCTGTACCTGGGGCTTTACCACAAGCAAGCTGATCAATGTTTTTTTCTACTCCGTCTACAGTAGGTTCATGGTCGAGCGTTGTCAGGGTTGAAAGGTCTTCATGTGCATCGAGAGAGAAGTCATGAACCACATTTTCACAACAGTAGAATTCTGAGTAATGTTCAACCCATCGCTGTTCAACTCCTTATTGTGGTCATTGATGACTTCACCTGTGGGGGATTTTAAAGGAGCGATCTTCCTCTGAACAGGCTCAAGAGCTTTCCTGATGTCCCTATACACTGCTTGCATGTCACCTCAGTCAGCAGCTTTTTGGGTTTTTTTGCACAGTTGGCATGTCACCTCAGTCAGCAGCTTTTTGGGTTGTTTTGCACAGTTTTAGCCAATAATCATTGACTACCACTCATTCTCAAATGTGGCTAAACAGAACATAGGTGATGTTTAGTTGACTACCTCACAACCAACCCTGCTTTAATGGTTGCAAAAAAAATGTAGGTGCTTAGCATCATTTGGTAACTCCGTTTTGTCTGAAAAGATCCTTAGCTACCTCAACTTCAGCTCATGAGTATGCTAAGATGTGATCCACCTATGTGCCTAACTTCTGCCTAAGGTGCACTGTGACACAAATCAGTGCTGTGAGGCACCTGGATTCTGGTCCCTACTTTTTTTGTTTTTTTGTTTGTTTTTTTTTAAATCAACCGCTGCTTAATATAAAACACATAAATAGTCTTAGCAGCAGGCAGCATTAAACAGTCTTGGGTTCCCGAATTTGAACCTTGGTCTCTCTCCTCCTGGGGGAGTCCTCTCTCTTGAGAGGCTTACTTTTTATTCATTTCCATAAGTCTAACACTCTTGCTCTCAGTAAAACAATCTAGACTCTAGATTACAAGGATCAAGAGTCCTTGTAATCTAGATGATGGTCCCGTATAAAAGGTGGGCAGCAAAACCACTATCATTTTTTCCAAATGTGGGTCCTGAACTTTGTATTGAATTCACACTCAGTGAAAAATAAAACTATTTCTTATAATGATTGATAAATAATTTCACAAGCCAATCAAACAAATCAACCATGGGGATATATTTTTGGTGCATCAAAGATTTTGACAGCCCCTGAGTTAGACTTTCAATGTTTCCTAGAAGACAGAAAAGAAACAGCACAGTGGGGTTTTTTTTGGAGATGTAAATAATGATGGTAAGAAGAACCATTTTCAGAAAAAAGGGTACACACCATGCTCCAGCTGTAGCCTCCTACAAGGTAAATACTGTCATCAAGAACTGCACATCCAGGTCCGCTGCGGCCTTCCAAGATAGGTGTCTGAAGAATATTCCACTGGTCACCTTTTGGATCATAGCATTCCACAAGCATGACATCCAGGTGGGAGAAACCTGCACAGAACATTTTGAAAATAATTTAAAACAGACATCTTTGAGTTTCTTGACTGCCTTAAAAATAATATCTATTACAAAAAAATGACTGCAGGTACCATGAAAAAGGACCTAATGAACAATGATTTTCTAATACTAAAAGGAATTTTCTAAACATACAAAAATCAGGAAATCTGGAAGTATGTTAAATACAGGTCTGAGCTGTAAAGTCTGGACCTGGATTTGAAGTTTCCAAATTTTGTGGTGAACTGGGATCCAATGTTTTGGTTTGAGACCATCTTTATTTTTCAAAAGTCTGAAAACTAACAGTAATGTTTGCAATGACAAACTTTTCTGTGCCCTTCCCTAGCCACCATTTAACCTTCACAATCAGACCACTGATACCTCTTAGCCCTGAAAAAAATATCATGTACTGACCCGTGACCTGCAAAACTGCCTGCAATCCCTCTGTAACAGGGAACCCCTAACACCTGTCACTGGAAGTAAGTACAGTGCTACAGGAAGGCAGGCTATGTCATACAGCATGAAGGGAGGCTAGCTGCAAAGAGCCTGTTAGCAACCCATAGGAGGTACACACAAGCCATAAAGAAGCAGGCCAAAGCTATTCCCCTGCAGACTGTCAAAGTGGGAAACCCCTGAGCCTGGCCCAGGGGATCAGAGGTCAGGTGACTAGAAGTGGGTATAGAATAGGGACATATAAGCTTGGCTTCTGTGAGGGAGCCCCAGACTGTGCCAGCTGAAGGAGTTCCCTGTACTAAGTGGAGAAGCAGTACTGGAGACTGGGGGGAGCCGTAAGTAGGCCTAGGAGGGCTTGAGCTGGGAGAAGCCAACAGATCTGAGTAGGTACCTGAAAAGAGCTTGGAGAAAAGCACTGCAGCTGCAACTGACCACATTTAGATTTTAATTTAGGTTGCTATTTGAAATGTGAGGCACGGGGATGGCTGAAGGGTGGTAGGGGACTAGTGAGGGTGCTCAGGGAAGATGCTGCAGTTGACAAAGGACTGTTAAAGACTGCAGCGAGAGAGGGAGAGAAAGAGAGCTGAATGTGAGGGTGGTGATTTGCGAGCCCCTAACTGAGGACTGACAGTTGGGGATAATGACAAAGCCCTAACTGGGAATATTTATTTAGGGCAAGAGCCTGGTGGACTGAACTGAGTGATGGGATGAGAGGCTGGTGGAAAGAAATGAAAGAATCGCTCTGATGGATTGGGCAGCCTCCTGAATTCAAAATACTACTGAAGGTGCAGCAGGAAAGTACAGGGAGGTACCTTGATTAGCCAGAAAGGAGAAGAGAGATGGGACTGGAGTGGCCACAAGGAGGTGCCACATCTGCTTCTAGTGGGGGGTCCCATTATACCCTCTTCATCATGGAGAATGCCTGCAGGCCAGAGAGTGTATTATCTTGCATTACTTTCCTAATATAGTTAAAGGCCTGCCCAAGACAAATGGTTCATCAGCCTACTGTGGTTTTGTACCTTGCAGTAATGAGAGGATGACTCCCTACCCTAAACAACCACATTCCCATTTGCAGCTGAGCTAACTGGAGGCAGCCTTTAGCCCACGTTGGTAGGAGGGCTCAAACTCGCATCTCTGCAGCCAAGGCAAAACCCCTTACTTGCCTTGTTACTACATTTCTCTCAACACAGGGCTCCCACACAGCTATGAATCTGTCTACTATACAAACGTACCTGGATCTCAGGTTTACATTAATGCATTATAAATATAAAACAGAGGCCCACTTTTTTCACATTCAGCCTGATTATATGGCTAAAGACTCCCGTAGTCTGCTTGCACAAGACAGGCTTACAATTCGCCAGTACCTCCTACATGCCAGCAAGGCTCTATCACCATGCTACAATCTGAATTATTCATATATGCAACAGGGAACACTAGCATTTATTTCATAAGGCCACAATTGTGGATTTTCCACTGGTAACTGGAGAAGAAGTGAGGGACAAAAAGACAAAGATAAGGCTAATAACGTCAAATCTGCTATTTTCTAATCTAATCTTTGCTGATCACTTTGTCGTCTTCGGGGCTTTGAAAAGCTATTATTTCCAGTTTTCAACTGTTTCTGTTTTAGCCGTTAACTTGGAACTTCCCGACTGTAACAGGGAACCACAACCCTGTTAAGTACAATCAGAGGGGGAAAAGGATTTTTGAAGCCCACAAGGGCTAACTGCTGCAACAGCCAGCCCCAAGCAAGAACTTGAGGCCGGGGCCTGCTAAGAATCTCGGGAAGGCTGCAGGGCAAGAACAGTTCAACAACTGACTAGGCTTTGTAGGAACTGCTGGGCACATCTCCAGGGGCAGTGGCCATCTGACCAGAAAGGGCAGGTCTGGGCTTATATAAGCCCAGGCCTGCAGGCTGCAGGGGAAGGGAGCTGGGAGGCAGAGCTAGCTGCCAGGGGAGACGAGTTATCTGGGGACTGGGGGGAATCGAGGCCGCTCCTTTTGAAGGTAACAGTGGTTATGGCTGAGGGGGCTGAGTCTGAGTTAGTAACATATGGTTAACTCTTTGTGTATTGGTTTATTTCCTTTATTTAAATTTGTGACTACAGGACTGAGTTGTGGCTGCAGAGAAGGTCTGGCTGCATGGAGCAGGGTGCTTGTGAGACCAGCTCTGGTCAGAGACATGTGGGGCTGGGGCACGGAGTCAGGGACATTGCACCTGGGCTGAGGGAGCTAAGCCAGATAAAAAGGGCAGAGGCCAAGAAGGCTGGAGGTCATGATTCTAGCTCTTAAGGCAATTAAGACCCTCTTAAAGAGGAAGTACACCCATGGGGTGAGGGCAAAGAAGTAAAAGGCACCAAAGAATGGACCACCCCAGGCCTCTTCATATATGCTACATCAAGTCATGGCAAGCAAGAGGAGGAGGCCAAGGAAAATGGCCAGGCCAGTCTGGCTACTAAGGGCACCAGGCTTCAGGAAGGGCAGAATACCCGAGCCTGTCGCACTAACTTTTAAATGTTTGGAGATTTTTAAAATTAATTTCAAGTATTGCTTTAAATTAATACAATTATAGATTTGCCTGTAGCATTCTCCCAGTGACTTTTTAAATCCAGGAATTTGTTATTCTCAAATAAATAAATACATAAATAAAATATTTCCATTTCTTCCTAACACTTGTAAGTATTAAAATTTTCAAAAAGTAATGTCAGAAAAGGATGAAGACAAATATTACTCTATAAACAGATAGGTAAACCAACTGTTCTAATGTATATTTCTTTTGATATGGGGCATTCATCATGAATTGGAAAGATAGATAAGTTCATAACAAAACTGATCAAATCGTTACACTTCTCTTACTACTAAAAAATAAGTAACAGGTGATAAAAGCTGTTCCAAACAATATTCTACCTCACTTGCCAATGATAGCGTTTATCCTCTTTCCCCAGAAGTCTAAGTAAATAGACTGATTGGCTTTACAGTGTTCCCTGTATGTCAACAGATTCAAGCTATTCAAACCAGCACCTTCAGTTTCACCCAGAAACCAACAAGTAGCCAGACCCTGCAGATTCAAGAGTACTGGTGTCACATGCTTCCAGGAAGATAAACTACTTAATAAGTAGTCTGCCATGTTCAGTTCCAGCTACAATTTCCAAGCTGATTTAAGGTGTAGCCTCCTGCAGCATGCACTGCAATAGTCACGAGGTGACAAAGGTATGTATTATGGTGACAAGGACTCCATCCAAAAAAATGGTGAGCCAGTCCTAGCTAGACAGAGATGAAAAAAGTTCTTCCAGGTCGTTGCTGCTCTATAATCGAACAGCAACTGTAGGTTGTAAACTTTAGTAAGAAAATAGATAGTAAACCTTCAGTGAAAAGCCAGGTGTAACTGTCACTTTCTCTCACTGCCTCCTTGAACCAACACAGTGTCACCTTAATATGCTCTGCATTGAGTTTCAGCCAGCTAATTCATCCATACACCAACTTGTACCAACTTTTCAAGTCAGGCACTCAATAATACATTAGACAGATGAGGTGATCCCTACATGTAAGAACGAGTGAACACTAATCTGACATCAGTTCTACAAAGACACTTGAGCCTGTGGAGAACACTTTAATCTCCCTGGACACTCCATCCTGACCTCAGAGTAGCTGTACTTAGAGAACAAAACTTTAAAAATAAACTTGAACGCGATACTGCGGAACAAGAAATCATCCACAGACTGGATTGTGTTAAGTACTGTCTACAGAGGGACTAGCGATTCTTCTTATTACCTGAATTAGCTTTTCTGACCCTTTGTGCCTAACAGTTTATTACTTTTTTGCCTCTCCCAACACTGTTCCCTCCTCCTTCCCTGTCTTTTGCATTCAAATAACTCTCTCTATTGAAACACTGCTCTGTGCATGTCCTTTTATAGTCTGATGAAAACTCATGCAATGTAGCTCTGATTTAGTTAGTGTATAAGGTGCAACCTATCCCACCTTCTACCTGACTTCAGACTAACATGGCTAACTATCTCTCTGTGCTCATGGATTAGAGCAAAGTGACAGAACTCTTGCATAATACTTCTGCTGTGCAGCTCCTACCCCTATCCTAAAGGCTGACATGGAGCTTGGTGAAGTGGCCTGGCAGTGATTGCATGCCACCTCTCTGCCCCTTCCTCCGTTACCCCCAATCTCTTTGCAAAACCCCTGATGACCGACTGTGGAGCCCCTGGGGTCCATGGAACACAGTTTGAAAACCACTGAATTAGTGGAAACAGAGAAGGAGAGCTGAGTACAGCAGACCATACCTTCTCATTAACCAACCCTCCTAAGGGCCCTGTGAACATAAGGGATGTGAAGAGGCACAAGCTGAAACCCTATGAAACTGCCTCACAGGTGATGAATAACTATGTAAAACTGTGGTCAGCAAGGAAAGAATGAAGCTATGCAAGGGAAGCCTTTCCAATGCTCTGGGGAGTCAACACCACTTCATTAAATTTACTAAATGTAGCTGTCAGATCTAACAGTAGACAGGATGATTTGTATGCTTGCTAGGAAGGACAGCCTCTACCTACACTAGCCTCCACTGTTGTGCCATTCCTGGGTCTACACACAGAAAATCAAAGAGATCTGTGACATTTAGGGTGCCTATACATATGTACCGAGGCTGCTCTGATGCGCTGTAATTACAGCGAGAGAGAGAGAGAAGAAAGGCAAAACTACCTCTGTTTGCTAACTGTTATTGGGGATATTTGCAACCAGCAACTTTGAAGTCTTCACATTAAACCATTTTGGAGTTATGAGTGAACAAAATAAGTTAGTATTGTTTTGAAAAAAGGGAAAACCACCCTTACTTTGGCAGCAGCTTGTTAGATTTGCCCAATAAACATTTTAAGGCTCAGTAATTTCTCTTCCTTAATAGATTAAATCTGTGACCTTTTAAGGGTAACACTGGGGACACTTTTTCCCAGTTTTAGCTAAACAGCTTACTATTATTCCATGATTTTCATAATGCCCCTCTGAAGTAAGTACTAGTTTCTTTATTTTTGGTAAATTGATATCCAGAGAGATTAAATCATTTGTCCAAATCAAAGAATAAATTAATGGAATAGCCAGAAACAGGAGATTCATGACAACCCTTAACTGCTCTAAATGTTCCCCAAAATTTCCCATTATGAAGTACCCAAGATTTCAAGATAGCCCAAAACAATTTTCTTCTTAGGATCACTGCAAGAAAATTGCAGCCTTTTCAATATACCAAGACATAAGGTTTTATATTTTTATTCTTCCTCATTAAAGAAGGGAAAGAAAATGAGAGAAGGAGAATTTGACTTGTGAAAGGGCATTTAGTGATGGGTAGCCCATAATAAGGATGCTTGCAAAATTATTAGTTTATGTCAGGAATGAATAGTTGTGATGAAATAATTTTGCATCGCTGTAAAATTTTCAAGGGGCCATAGAAAGGCAAACATAGCATGCCCAGAATCTGTCAAAGCCCTCCCTAATAAACTGCAGTATACACATGATTAGTTATGATGAGGGAAAGGCACTGCTGACACTAGAACAAAGATCCGGCTTCATGAGCGCTTTGCCATTAAACTATCAGAGCATCCTTGCTTCTTCCCAAGCCAACAGACTCCAACCCCTCCCCCCATGCATTCACTTGCATTTTGTCTTTTTGTTAATCACAGAAAAAAAGAAGAAATATTCTCCAAAGAGCTTGTATCCCAAACAGACTGCACTTCAGAAGTCAAGATGGCAAATGTCTACTGCCACAGAGCAATTCAGCCATGATGAAAGCATTTAAGGCAACAGCGGTAGAGAGAAAAAAAATGCAATGCTTAATACAAGGTTCCATTTTTCCTAAAGTGCATTTGGTGAAACTGGAAAAGCTACCAGGGAAATAACTGTGGTCACAGTGGGCACCTGTACACGAATGTGGAGTCTGCTCTGATACGCTGTAATAGTGATTCCTATTCTGACCAAAAGACAAGGGTTGATAGATTAACTTATATTTTCTCTTGTGAAAAGAAGTAATAAAAGACTAAATGTTGCATTTTGATACTATGGACATTGACAAAAAAGTCAGTGCTAAAAGTTTAAGGCCAAATATTCAAGTATTTGTTACATATAAGCATTACTCCAGTGAAGTCAATGGATAAAAGCCAATGAACACTGGTGGAAGATATGACCCTCTATTTCTAAAGCATTCAGAACCCAGTGCAGAAATACTTCTGTGAACTGTATTAAAATCTGGTAAGATGGACTCTTTTCAGTGAAACCTGTGTGCTGTTATATGTCAGTCAGAGGCACAGAAAGCTTTTCAGTGCTTGGGGCAGAGGTTTGTGCGGGGGTGGGGGGTGAGGTTGGCAGAATTATGCTGACTACTGGATAGTGGGAAGTCCGGGAAGAGAAGGAGGGGAAAATGAGCATAGTCTTATCTGACCCAGCTTTCCTCACTTGGGGTGAAGGTGCTACTGCTGCAATTCCACCTCTCACCTCCAAATAAATAACAGGGAATGGGGCTGCATGTGTCTGGCACCAATGGCTGGGTTGTACAGGGCTGTGCCTGCTGTGGCAAAGACTCTTGGGCGGAGGGAGACATAATGGTGCCCAGGGCTGGTGTCCCACTTGCCCCCCTGCCAGTTATGCTATGGAACGGAGTCCCTTTCTTTACTGCTTTCCTCTACTGCAGAGGATGACACAATCTAGGAAAAAGAAGGAGAAGGGAAGAGAAAAGCATTTTCAGTCTGTGCTTCTGTTACATAAGGCTGGGTTTTTGGTTGTAGCCGTGTTGGTCTAAGGACACAGGCAGGCAAGGTTCTTTGAGTAGATGTGATGTCTTTTATTAGACCAACTGAGTAGTTGGAAAAAAATTCTTAGCAAGCTTTTGGATACAGAGAATCCAGCAGAGACTCCAGCAGAGACTCCTTATGCCTGAAGAAGGGTGACTGCGCCCAAAAGCTTGCTAAGAACTTTTTTCCAACTACTCAGTTGGTCTAATAAAAAATATCACATCTGCTCAAAGAACCTTCCTGTCTGTTACGTGAGAATTTTTTTGTACTCTTTATTTTATTATTTTGTTATTCCAACAGAAGGATGAATGGTGGCATTCTGAAGGAGTTAGTATTCAAAAGCCAACATTTACAAATTTGGCACCTAAATAAAAGTAGCTCAGTTTTTAAGTCAGCAATGTGCAGGCAGCTATTACTCTTTTGGTGTCCATCCATGACATACTTTTGAAGACTACACAGAGATGGCTCAGTCAGTTCTGCACTTGGTACTGAGGCACGTGTGGCCTCAGTACTGAGGCCTCTTTACCAAAAAGACTTTGTGCTTGCTCTCTGGTCCCATGTACTATGGGACACAGAGCAATTATACTAATAAGGCAGAATACTGAAAAGTGCCTAAAAGGCTTAGGAATCTCATTGAGACATAGGCTCTTTTGAACATTATACCCACAGTCAATGTCACTATTTGCTTCTTCCTTTTGTTTGTGTAGCCTTTTCATGTAGCAACAAGGTAAACTAAAAAAAATAGAAAATTGTGTTTATAAACTAATAAATATTGTCAGTGGACCCAGGGGCAGGAGTCACATCTGAAACTATTTTGTGCTCATTTTCTAAATTGACAAAATGAGCAGCTTCCCTTTAACTTTAATGAGAGTTGCATGTTACTACTGAGAAAAGAATAATGGATGCCTGTGCACCAATAATTTTAATAAAAAGCTTTTAAAGAATGAAAACGAGAGACCTCAAAACTAATGAATACAGAATTAAAATTTTCAGGCCACATTTAATACTAAAAGGGGATTTTAAGACACTAGTCCTAATAGTTAATGGATGTTTTTTCATTAAATTAAGGGTTTGCTTCTGTATGCAGCTTTGAATAAAGCTCTTTCTAACTGCACATCTTGGAAAATGATTTACAGAGGAAAATATTGCTGGTACTTTCAGGTCAAAGAATAATCTGTTTGTTTCACTGAATTCATGGTAATGACAAATTGTCCATGCTTTTGAGTAATGGAAACTCCCATTTTTATTATCTAAAGCATTCATTACTCATACATTTAATATACTATTATAATTTTTAAATAATTTGCATAAAATGTTTTTAAAATTGCTGGCTCAACCGTCCTGCTAAATTGTGTTCCAGGGTTTTTAACTTAGTTAACAATAACTATCTAACAAAAGTACCCTTTATCAGGAAACAGGATATGGAAATGTTGTTTTGCTATTAAAAGCGTGACCTTTCAAATGGTTTCCTCCAATAGCATATAGTCGGTCATTCATTACAGCCAAAGCGTGGATTGCGCGCTTTGTGTTCATGTCCTGTTTTCGGGCCCAGACGTCCATGACAGGGTCATAGCAGTATAGCCAGGGGACGTATTCTCCATTGTGAACTCCCCCTACAAAATAAATATATCTTCATTAATTAGCATAAATGAAGATGTGGCCTTGCAACAAGATTTTAGCTCTAATGTTTTGTATGTAGCAGAAAGTAGAAAAAAGACATGCCTGAAATATATATTTTGCCATTATGCACTGCTCCGGCATGTGCTGCTAAAGGCTGTGGTAGGGAAGATACATAACGCCATTCATTTGTCTCTAAATTATAGCATTCGACGCTGGACAAGTAGCCAGTTTCATTTCTTCCACCGATCACATACAAGTTCTTGTCAAGCCGACACGCATAGAAACTGGCTCTCCTAGAGTATAAAACAAAATACACAAAAAAAGCCAATTAGATGCTAAAACATTTTCTGCATTTCATGCCTTGCTCTTAATAAGGGGCTGTTTCAAGTTCTAATTCAAACGGGGGTGTCCATGGATCTTAAATGTTTTGGATCGTTTAAAGATTGTGTCTGGTTTGGTAATCAAATACATGTTCTGCATCAAATGAATACTTTGTTTTCAGTGTCAAAACAATTAACACACACATATCTGGTGGGGAATGCCTTTTTCCAAAGCTGTTGCTTTTTCACACCACTGAAGGATAAAAAAGGCGCTCATTAATGTTTGGGGCATTTGGTACCTTGTAAGGATATAACAACTCAGTAAGACAAAGTGAAAAATGAGGTAGATAATGTAACAATAATAAATTATCTTGACATTCACTTTCTTTATGGTCCTTCAAGGGTCATTGTTCCCAATTTACTAAGAGAACCACATCATCAAAATTTTTCTTCAATTATCATTTTTTTCCTCTTTCTGCAGTACTGCAAATAGAACAACTTTCCCTAAGCTAGCCACAGTATTATATTTCTGCCCTCTAACTCACAGAGGTCCATCACCATATAACTAGCCCTGAACAAAGTTTCTAGCTATCCGCCTGTTTTCACATGCAACTCAGGCACGTGGGAAGCTTATTAAAGTTTCTGGTCAGGACTGCAGGATGACCACACTTCTATAGTTTGTTTTTCTTGCTCCTCCAAAATTAACAGTAATTCTCTACTACTGCAATAAAACCAGAAGGTTGATAAGTATTGTGAAAATACTAGAGAAAATTCCCACTGATATTAGAAGGAGAACTATCAGGGCCAAGGTGGCAGGATCAATTCCTTTATTTGTGGCAACAAAATGAGAAAGAACACTTCAGGCCTGAGCCCAGTTAAGACTGACAATACTTTTAGGGGTCATTCTTAAAGTCTTTACTCTGGCAAAACTCCTAATGGAGTCTGAACCTAGGGAGAAGTAGGCATTTTAAAATACAGTTCTGTTACTCAGCAGGAGGCAACAGAGTTGTACCTCATAGACTAATTCAGATACCTCAGATTTCACAAGTAACAGCTTGCTTTGTCAGATGCTATTACTCAGTGAAAATGGGACACTACATCTAATGTATACATTGCGATTATAGTTTCTAATTCAAGGCATGGGGCAGGTTTTTTGAACTTGCACAGCTAACATTAGGCACTTAGGGTGTGTACAGAAGTGCTCTGGGAGGTGCGTGGTGGGGGGCACCTCACCATAGTAGCGTTGCCAGCTCTTGGGAGTGGCACCAAGACTCCCCCAACCCTGTTCTGCTGTGGAAGGCCCTGAAGGGAGGGCAGCCCACATCCACCCTCATCCCATGCACAAATCTGGGGGGGTACATGCCCCCCATGCCTCCCTGTCTGAAAGTGTGCACAGCAGTGAGAAACCAGCCTCCCCCTTCCTCTCCCTCCCCTGCTGCCCCCAAATGAGCTGCCTGTGGCTCCGTCCCGCTCCCCTGCTGCACAATCCTGCCCAGCCCTGGGCCCCATGCACCGTCCCAGCTGGGCAGCACTGCCAGTCCCAGCCCTGCCCTACTCTCCCCCTTCTTCCTTCACCATGGGGGCCTCAATCTGTCCCCCGCCACCCCCTCCCACATAGACTTACCTGAAACAAACTGCTCTCTATGCTGCCTGGCTGCCATGTGCATGTGTCGGCTCACATATGCATGTGGCACCCCCTGCCTCTGATTGCCCTCCTCCTGCTGCCCCCAGCAGGTCACAGGCTGAGAACCAGTGGTCTACATGTACCACAGTCTTACTCACTGATTTCATGCCTAGACAGCTGTGACCTCACTAATGAAGAACTGGGTTCCTGCACTCCCTGTTCTGCTCTTCATTTTTACCTGTGTGTATACAGGTAACCTGAAATGTGCAGGATTAAGTCCTCAGTTGTGCAAGGCCTATTTCCCATAAAAATGACAATGCCATCACAGTGAACAAGGCTCACACTAACAGCAAAGGAGGATGCTGCTGAAGGTGGCTAAGGGATGCTCTCTTGAGACACTCTTGGTCTCTGCAGGAGCTTTTAAATTAAATTACTAACACTTGATTTATCAGTCAGTTGGCAAGTAGAACCTACTGACATATTACTGAGTAAAGGTACATCGCATATCATTTTCATGCTATCAGGTTTCTCTCAGGTAAACTAAATATTTATAAACTAAACTATTTATAAACCTAAATATAAAATTAGCAAATTTATCAAATACTTTTTAATAAAAGAATTTCATTGTGCAAAACTGTGTATGTGATTAGACTAGTTACATAATGCCAACCATGAAGAAGGAGTTGGTGCACTGGAATTTGACCTTAGTAATATAAAACAGGTATATGTTGTTGTCTAGGACTTTCTTTAACTTTTGTCCAACCTCAGTACACAGAATAAGGTACAATTTACAGATCTGACTATTTAAGCAGAGATTTTCTTAACAGTCTTGTATGTGTACTCCTGGTTTTATCCACAGAGTGTCACTGTTAGGAGCCAAAATGAAATAGGATGCTCTACACTTCTGATTAAATGTGAATGTTTATGTAAAAGCTCCAACAACAAAGATTTAACATTTTATGGTATGAACCCATTTACCACAAAATGGTACATAGTTAATTGTTCATTGTTCTTCATTTAACTAAGTGCTGCAAACCTTATTCCAGACTATAATATGCTATACCAGATTTCAGATTAGCAACTTTTCCCACAGCAAAGCAGGGAAGAGACTGGCTACTCTTGCAACAAAAGTTATACTGGATTACTACTGTGGATCAGAATATGAGTCCATCTGCTAGTCCCACATTCTACCTCTTGCCATAGCCAATACTTGATGCTTCAGTGGATTGTGAAAAGCCCCCATAATGAACTCAGCTGAATTTTATAATGCTACACATGTGAAAGGGGGAAGACATTTTCCCTGATTCCCACAGGCATTGAATTTATACCCTGAAACATGAAATGTGATGACTAAACTTAGCTTTAAAGCTATCAGTGTTATCACTGGACATAACAATGCCCGGATCTTGTTAAAGGGACACTGAGAATATGATTTGTTTTAAACGAAAATTTTTTCCATTTATGCTATTAATAAAGATTAGATTAAAATAAGACAAGATTATTTTCTTTATGTCTATTTATTGAGTTTTCTCATTAAATTCACTTTGGACAGTTAAATTAGGTTGGTCTGCTTCTAGACTATTTCATTTTCTTTGCACTGGCACAATGAAGTATTTTTTAGTTAAAAATATTGCAGAAGAATCTCAAAATGAAACACTTTAATTAATTTTTTTAAAATACTAGAAAAGGCTTTGATGTTTACCAGGCTTTGGTCACTCTTAGTTCAAAGTTGAAACTACCCAGGTACAGAAATGCTAATTGACTTGTACTTTTAGCAATAGTGCATTCCATAAATCCGGAGATTTCATAGATTTAATAGATTTCATAGACATTAGGAGCTGGAAGGGACCTAGTGCGATCATCGAACCCAGCCCCCTGTCAGAGGCAGGAAGTCCACAGGGATCAAATGATCCCAGCAAGATAACCATCCAAACACCTTTTGAATGAGTCCAGAGTAGGTGCTTACTAGGGCTGTGCAAAGCTTCGATAGCCAATTTGATCTGGAGGAGATTTGGCCTGATTTGGGGACAGAATCTCTGAATCCAAATTGAATCAGGAGACCAATTAAAAGCTCTGAATCGATTTGGAAAGACTTTGGAAAAGATTCTGCCGATTTGAAGATAACCATCCAAACACCTTTTGAATGAGTCCAGAGTAGGTGCTTACTAGGGCTGTGCAAAGCTTCGATAGCCAATTTGATCTGGAGGAGATTTGGCCTGATTTGGGGACAGAATCTCTGAATCCAAATTGAATCAGGAGACCAATTAAAAGCTCTGAATCGATTTGGAAAGACTTTGGAAAAGATTCTGCCGATTTGGAGATTCAGCCATAGACTAAAACAGGCAGCTGACAGCTGCCTCCAACTGGTAAGTCTGTTGGGGTTGGGAAAAGCTGCCCAACCTGGGTGGGGGGGGGCACGTTACTCCGGGCAT